AAAACTTGGAAGAATTGCCAAATAGAGCGCAGTAAAGCCTTTTTACACTAAGCAAAAGCTTAATGGGCGACCACTAATTTTTCTAGCTGCCTATAGAGGATGTGACCTCATTTTTTTACCCAAAGCACATGCGTAAGATTCACCGAACTTTATAGGTGTAGTTGGGTTGTTATATATATCTAGCGCCTATTTTTTTTAAAACTTAAACTTTCAGTACAAATATCCTAAACGGAACTAGCTTCTTGGCTAGTAATTACTAACTCAGTTACTAAAATTTTCATCTCAAAAAGCTTTCATTGACTACATAAGGTTAAACGGATGCTGAGTCGAGTAGCTTTTGGGAGACCTTCACAGGGCACCTGGGGATTGCGGTAATAACCATGTGCGTTGCTGTTCACCACCAGTCACCGTTTAATAAGCCTTTAACCAGTAAATCAAAGCAAAAATTCATGTAGTTAGTATAAATAGTCGCATGATTTGGTCTTATTCCAATCCTCTTTTTAGTGACTCCTTGGTACAAATACCTTGGACCACAGCATGCAGTTGCACTTAATTAAGTAGATTTTATATAATGCCAAGCAACCCGTGCGGTCCTCGCCGTCCAGTGCCTTTTGCCGTGGCGCCGCCATTTGAAATGCAACGTTTTTTGTACAAAGTCCGTAAAGATTTTATGTAGTGTGTAATTTCCCAAATGCCCATTTACTGTTAAAATATTAAGTTAGTTTTAGTAACACATATACAACAATCTTCAGTCCTAACGCGGTTAATGGTAATTTGTAGGCTATAATACCTCTTTAATTTAAAACAATATCTTGAGGGAATACAACGGGCAATTTTTATAAAACAAGCGAGGTCTGTTGCAAGAAGTCCATATAATTGTTAGTGATGATAGCGTGTGTGCGATATGCACCTGATTTGAATAGCTCTATTAGACCGATCTAACGATCCATTAATATAATGTATGTAAGTTGCTCTTCAATTTAATTAAGACGGGAAATAAACCAAAAGGAAATCAACTGTTTATTTTTTTAAAGAAAAAGTTTTCTTTTAATTGAGAGAAACTAAATAGAGTCTGTTTTTAACACGTGGTTGTCTTTTAACTTGATGCCCTCCCTGTGATACTAAAAGTCCAAGCTTCACTGTGCTTGTTTTTGCTTGCATTAATCTTTCTAGTAGACACGGGATTGGTAAGCAGGTCAGCGTAATGATTAAAACAATGTAGTTCAGAGACAGATCGACTGATTATGAATGCGACATGTGAAAGCTGCTTGCTAACCGCCGTAAGGCTTTTTTTAGTCTTTCCGAAACAACACTTTCAAAACCATTCCTTTGGGTTTTTAAAGTCTTCACAACTATATAACATAAAATATTTCACCTTTTCACCTGAGTAGCGCTTTTATAAGTTTTTATTAAACCTTTTCGGTAATCCCCCCCATAGTAGAAAGAGAGTACCTGCTAAATTAACTTAGAAACTTCTGAACTAAAATTCGCGAAGGAAATGGCAGTAGTTACTAGGCTGAATTTCATTTTTTTTAATCTAAAGTTTAAGCGTTGGGCTACTAATTATGGAGGCAAGCTCTATAGAATGAGTGATGAAACCTAGCGCCGTTGCTCTTTCCGGAGCTGCTGGTTCAATCAGAAAAGTTTCAATGACTGGTTAACGAGTTTTGAACTCATCGTGTGATTGCATTAGTATTGTTAGCATACTCATTCGAATGGTCTCTACAGCTCGGATCTGTGTGGTTAGCATATAGGTTCAAGGTAACAATACTATATATATGCCGACCATCCCTACCCAAAGTTCAATTGCAATAATTAAACCATCTTAAAGTTGTGGTTATGGTATCTTCTTAATAAAGCTCTGTTTTGAGGACTGCTTTATACTTTAACAAGCTCTGGGTCCCGAGAGGAACGTATTGAAGGTATGCTTTTTAAACTGGTAAAAACCTAAAGCTGGGCATAGTCTTGAAGCAGGTGAAAATTTCCCTGTAAACATAAGATAAACCATGATAAATGACTTAACTGGTTTCATCAACGTGTTTAATTGTACCAAAATTGGTTGCGCCAGCTCTTTCTAGGCAAATCACGAAGGACCGCTTCGAAAGCAATGCGAGTACTCAAAGCGGTCGCTTTCAAATAAAGTTTAACATTTGCTATCTGTTTGTGTGTTACTTTATTAGTTATTAAGCAACCAAAGTCAATGAGGAAAGATCTATAGAATGAGTGATGAAAACTAACACTATTGCTAAATGTAGAGGTACCTGAAAGTCGCAGAAAGTTTGGCTAGGGAGGGTCGGCATATATATAGCATTGTTACCTAGAACCTCTATGCTAACCACACAGATCCGAACAGCCGGAGACCACCCGATTGCGAATGCTAAAAGTACTAATACAACCATACGAGGAGTTCAAAACTCGTTAATAAGTCCAGTTTCAAACTTTTCTAATGGCACCAGCAGCTCTGGAAAGAGCAAAGGTGCTAGGTATCATCACTCACTCTAGAGAGTTTTCCTCCATGGCTTTCAGTGGACCTTACTTGCTTAAACGAAAGGTAGTTTTCTAAAGAACTTAGCATGTTCCCACCCAAGATTTCATCAAGGAAATATAACTTTACACACGTGCTAAGTCGTCAAAAATTTGCAAATTTTATCTTTAATAGTGGAATTGTTAATTATTATGGACAAAACGCTAAAAAAAATATAAAAATTAGCGTTGTAATACAATATCCGCGTGTAAACAGATTTGCCAAAACTTAAATTAATTTAAAAAAGTTATAAAAAAATACTTTAACTGGGTTGCTAAAACTAAAATATAATTGATAGAAGAACATATGATTTGCAGAGGAACATAAGCAAGTAGAGGTTGCCAAACTTGGCCTAAAATTGCTCTTGAGAAAAATTCACATTGCTCAAGGAAGGATGAGAATGTGCTCGAAGAAAGGATCTAAGTAGACAATAAACTACTGAACGTTATTCTGTTCCTATTGAGAAATTGACAAACTTAAAAATAGCAAAATTTTCGATGGATAATACCAAGAGGTTTTAGCAAGGAAAGCCGGATAAAAAAAGTAGTAGTGACTATACTTTTACTATCCTAAATGGGTACGAAGCACAACCGTTTGATACGTTAAAGCTTGGTCTAAATATTAATAAAGAATACTGTTAACGATATGACCGAGTTTTGTTTGTGTAGATACTTGCTTAGTGCACAATAAAACCTAGTATAGCAGAGCAGCACGTAACTTAAAAACCAAATAAGGAAAGCTTAATGTTAGGTTAAGAATATAAAAATGTAATAAAGTTAATGATTAGCTAGAGAAGTTTAAAATGAAAGTTTTAAAATAAGCGCAATAAACATGAAGAGTCTGGGAAGTATAAAAGAATTGTGCAGTGTGCTACAAAGGTAAAAATTGTTGGAGTATGTAATCCTGACAAAGTTAAAATTAAAATTTTTAAGTAGAAGAAAAACTAGTAGTCTCAGAAAAAACACAACAGTAAGTAGCCATTTCAAGTAAAGTTCGCTTGGCGGTCGCTAAATGTAAGTTTTTAGGAATTACTTTAAAAAGGATTTTGTTCATACCGGTCTAGATTAGACTGTGTTGTTCTACTACAAAAGTGAATGAAAATTTAAAAATCGTATTAACTTTACAACAGCAATATAAAAAATGGTCGATCCACTAAGATTGTGGAAAGGTTTTATTGATTATAATAAGATCACCAATTGTGTGATGTTTTTTCATCAATCAAAAGGTATGGTATTATTACGACACACCCTTTACACCTAGGACGAACGAGTCAAAAGTTTGTAATGAAGTTTTATCGACATTTAAATGATATTTTGCAAAAAAACTGCTTAGCACAAAAGTGCTTCGTTGAATAAAAAAGGTTGTTGAAATTTCTGAACTCGTCGTTATAAGTATAACGTAGGGCATCTGTTTTCCTGTTAAGGTACATTAATTTACGGTCAATTGAACATCTTACATTTGTATAAAAAGCGTATTTATATTATCTTAACTGTTCTTTGCTCTCAAAAGGCTAACGAGCTGAATAGGATATAAATATTAGTGCTTGATAATTACTAGTTAATTATTAGAGTTCAGGGAGGATTTAATAGAAATATAATCTCATATAGCGTTCTTTATAATATTATCAGAACGAATAGGAGACCTTTTTAAGTTGGGTGGTGTCCCCTTCGACTGGAACATTTGAGGGTAGAAAAGGTAGGCGTGAATTTATTAGCGTACACTGTATATGCGCGACTTAACACAGCTCAACAACCCCAACCCCATTCGCGCTTGACAGGGCGACACCACTCTTTTTGCTTCAGCATCTACACACCTTATGTTGACGCTCGCCCATTGGTTTGGTTGTTAAAAATCATTATAAAGCAAGATTATTCCTTGAAGCCACTAAGCGGAAAAATTAAGAAGCATCATTAACTATAAGCCCTCGTGGCAGTCGCACGTAAACCATATACCTGTAAAGGTCAAGGCGGTTACTCAAACTCTCAGCCACGCCACCAAAGAAGCTATAATTTTAAAAAACCCTAGTCCTAAATACAACCAGCTACCCTCAAGTAACTAAGATCGTCGTATAGCTAATTAAAAAGTCCTTATGAAAGAGGTGTTTAATATACAATACTAAATGCTATAATCGACTACCAAAAGTAGTGAACGTAAAATTATATTAAATTATATTTAAATTGGAGGCACATCTAGTTATAACTGGATACCTTTTTGTGAGAGGGAGGAAGGCCTTACAAGTGTAAAATTCTTGCTTCTAAGCCTAGCAAATTTAGGCTGAAAATTTTTTATAAACTATGCATCAACTGATAATTTAATTACTTTATCTGTCAAAAGTAACTAATGCGGCCCTAAATAAAAGATATTTTATAAATTATTTCAAAAGACTAAAATTAATACTGAAACTATGAAGCTAACCCGCCTAAATACACCAATTTTATCTTACCCCCTTTAGGTGGGCCGCGTCCAAACAGTTCGTTTACGAACTCGGTTTCAGAATAATGTTTAGAGGAGATAGTGCACCTCCTAAAGGCGGTATTCCACCAGCCACCAAATTTAATAGTATTGCTTTTACCTCTATATCTGTTAGCCTGTAATAAATCTACAATATATATCTATTGTTCCACGTATAGACTGGTATTTGGAGGTCTGCGAGGGGAGACAAGTGTGGCATTATGTTACAGATGAATTGACCAAGATCCAAAAAGAAAGGTTCGAACTTACTGCGTCTCCATATCATGTAGGTCTCCCTAAGTTTGCAACACCGGAAGAAAGCGGAAGCCCTTTTTATAAAGTTCCTTCACAATCTCATTCATATGAAGAAGTTCTTAGAAAAGGCGTAAGCTTTTTTGGAAAACTACAAACAAAAGATGGGCACTGGGCTGGTGATTACGGTACACAATTATTACTATATAAAAAGGTCTGTTTATATTAAGATTATACTATACATTTTAGATATTTGATTGAATATACCAACTATTTAGGTGGGCCTCTTTTTTTACTTCCTGGCTACATCATTGTTATGTACATAACCAAGCAACCCATCTGTGAACCGTTCAAATTAGAAATTTTACGCTATCTATTCAACGTTCAAAATGAAGATGGAGGATGGGGTAAACTTAGTTATATTATGCAAGTCTCTATAATAATAATTTCCCGTGTTTTGACAAGGGTTGCACATTGAATCCACTTCTACAATGTTTGGATCAGTTTTGAATTATATAAGTGCCCGTCTATTAGGTTAGCCTGCTGCACGGTTTGTTTTATATATATCTATTTTATTATTATGCCACAGGTTTAACTGTAGAAGATAAGCTCTTGCATAAAGCGAAATGCTGGATACAGAGCCACGGAAACGGCTCTTCTTGTCTAGCCTCCCCACAATGGGGTATTTTACGTGGCACCCCACCAAATTTTAATCTACCTCAATCTAAATAGGTAAAGTTTACTTGGCTATTCTTAACATTATTTCTTGGGACGCGGTTAATTCTTTGATTCCAGAGCTTATTCTTCTCCCTGAAATATTCCCTTTTCATATCAAGGGTAATAGTAACTATTTTTTACAAAAACCTATAAAAGCACTAAACAACTAGGCATGTGGTCCTACGCCCGTACAGTGTACATGCCCATGACTTACTTGTATGGGATCCGCTTTCAGGTTGCAGAAGACGACCTTATCAGACAACTTCGCACTGAACTTCTTCCGTCTAGCCTAGCGGATTACGCTAGCATTCAATGGTTTCCTGTTTGTTTGAAGAAGTGAAAGCTTCACTGATCCTTTCTAGGTCAGTCTACCGGAACATCGTGGCCGAGGAAGACCTGTACACTCCACATACACGATTGCTTAAATACGCTTTTAAGTAAATTTTTGAAAGTTTATAATTATTTTTACTCCCTTTATCTAATTTTAGATTCTTTAACGCTTACGAATACATTGCTCCTTCTTTCCTGAGGAGGCGAGCGCTGGCTAGACTTTACGAAGTTGGCGTCAGGAAAGAATCGGAGTTCACAAAGTACATCTGTATAGGCCCCGTGAATAAGGTTTACACCCTTTGTTGGCTCCTCTCTCTGCATGTGTATCAAACGCGTAAAGGTGTTGAACACACTCGTCACGTGGATTGTCGAGGGCCCCGAGAGCGTGGCGTTCCAGAAGCATCTAGAGCGCCTGCCTGGTTGGTCTTTAGTGGTGCTTACAACTGTATTACTTATTCTAACTGTGTAGACTACTTGTGGATGGGGACGGATGGCATGAAAATGAACGGAACCAACGGTTCGCAGTTGTGGGACACGGCATTTATGGCACGCAGAGAAGCCTAAATCCTTTTGAAATCATGAAATATATTTGCTTTAGGTTCAGGCTTTAATGGAGAATTCCAAGAACCGCGAGGAGTACAGAGACATCTTCTCCTTGGCGAATGATTTTCTGGATATCTCCCAGATAAGAGTTAATCATCCTGAGCACTGGAAGTACTACCGCGATGAAACAAAGGGTCTTCTTCCCATCAACAACTCAAAGATAGTATTAAAGACATCTCGTTGCAAACAGGTGGCTGGCCGTTCAGCACGCGGGACGTGGGCTGGCTGGTGGCTGACACTACCGGCGAGGGTCTAAAGGTCGAGCACATGTTTGGTGGTCATAGGCAGGCGTGGGTGATTTTTACACGTTACGTCCACACCGCCAAGGCTTCTCTCCTGGTGAAGAGACATGGCTACTCCCTCACACCTCTCGACGATTCGCGGTTGTTTGATGCGCTGAACATTTTATTATTGATGCAAAACTCTACAGGGTTGGTTATGTTGCCGTTAATTACACACTTTTGTTAATAGTTCCGTTTTCTCTCCAAGCGGCTATGCTACTTGCGAGAAAACACGTGGCTCTAAACTCTTCGAGTATCTTAACGCCTCCGAGGTTTTTGGGGACATTATGATTGACTACGACTATGTGGAATGTACAACTCTTTGCATGCCGTCTGCTTCTTTTATTGCCCTTGGATGCACCTTTTCTGTCAAGGCACATCTTCTGCTCTTCAGGCGCTGGTCACTTTTCATGAGCACTACCCGACTCATCGCAAGCAAGAAGTTACTCTTTTTACTTCTGTGTAAAGCTTTCTTTTTATTTTATTATATACCGTAGGTTTTAAAGGCCGTTGAGAGGGCGACTGCTTTTATTTTAAAGTCACAGCATCAGGACGGGAGCTTCGAGGGGATGTGGGGCATATGCTTTACTTATGGTATCTTTTAATTTTTTTTTCGACGGGTTTTCTTCTATTTAGTTTGTGTAGGTACTTGGTTCGCTCTGGATGGTCTGGCCTCTGTCGGTATGAAACATTATTTAAACTCACCTATAAGCCAATACTATTATGTCTCCAAAGGATTGTATTACGAAAATAACTCGGCGGTCAGAAAAGCTTGCAAGTTTCTACTTTCCAGGCAAATGATGGATGGAGGCAACTTTTTTTTTTACTCTTCCAAGTAGGAGCTCAACTTGGCCTCTAATAGGCTGGGGCGAGTCATTTTTGTCCTGTGTCCGGCGTACCTATGTAAATCACAAGGCTTCTCAAATCATTAATACCGCGTGGGCCGTTCTTGCTCTTTTGGGCATGATTTTGTTACTACTTCTTTATCCACTCCCGTTTATTAAATTGCGTCCAATAGGGGCACACTATCCTCAAAAAGAGCCAATCAAAAGGGGGATTGATTTACTTAAGCAGCGTCAGCTGCTTAATGGAGATTGGGTCGAATTTTTATTATACGAAATATATATAAAAGTTACTCATCATAAATTTATCGGTTGCCTTTGTGGCGCTACTTTATGCCGTCGGAAGCCTCAAGAGAGCATCTGCGGCGTTTTTAATAAGAACTGCATGATCAACTATAGTAACTTCAAGAATATATTTCCGATTTGGGCGCTGGCGAGGTTTACCGAACGATATCCCCAGGAGTCTCCCTTGTGATGGTCGAAGTCTTGAGCTAGCAATAAAATAATTTTAAACTTATCGTAAATTAACATTGGTTATCTCGCCTAAGATGGAGCTGTTTTTTATCTTCATATCACATTTAAGTGTTTTTCATTATCGATGCGAGATTTGTTGCTAAAGGGTGATGTGCTTGTTCCTTAGATAATTATAGCGCAGATGATGGTGTGGTTGGCAACTTCAAGCGTGTGCATGCACCCCGCTTCTACATGTCGCTTTCTTAGATAAAAAGTGCTGTAATTATTTCTGCCATGACGTACATAGCTAATATGTGTCGTACATCAAGGCTTTAAGTATCATACTACAGTGGCGTGTCATTGCTTCTAAAGCGTCTTGTGATGTACTTTGTATCTTTCTTTGAAGTATCTATGCTTAGTGCGTCCCGTATCGTGAATGAGTCGGAAATTTCTGCGGGTAGTCATCAAACTGTATACCTATTTTAAAAAAGCGCGGGAAAATGAGTTGAGAATATCGTAAATATTTTTTGTCGCTGTAGTATTGTTTAGTGAATTCACATCGTACTTATAGCCTTTGCCGAACATCAATAAGTGGTATCGCTTTTAGTGGAGTGTAAATTTCGGCAGTTGAGTTATTTCTTTGCAAGTACAATGTTCTCGAGTTGTTCTTGTATACTTTCTTGTCAGTCCTTAATGGTTTCGCAGAGTCTAATGTCACAAAAACTTTTTGCCACACGTCTTTGAGAGTTTGCATAGCTATTTCAAGTTTCATAGTTCCTATATTCTAGATTAAAATTTTTTATGTATAACTATTAGTTAAGATCTTTATAGCCATGACTGGCTTTTTTTCGAAATCCACTTTTACTTAATGGTTTTCTTCAGGGCTTTTCATTGAAAATATAAGGTATACCTTTGTTATTGTATATCTAGTAGTCATTCCCGTGCTTTTTTACAAAAAAAATTTCATGCCGTTTTGGTTCTATTTAAAGTTTATGCTCTTTTTTAGTTAATGCTTAGCCCAAGCTTAGGCTCACTGCCGGCATTATAGATATATATATACTAGCTAGTAACACTATTCTATATAGTACCTATACTATATTAACTAATATTCTATATATTACAAGCACTATATTCACTTGTTCATTCATTCAGAAGAATATTTCCAAAGGCGTTCCATAGACTGAGATAGTGCTACTATGTGACTCATTCCATAGACCTGTTTGACGAAAGCTTTCGCACGCAATTCGTAGCTAGAAGTCATAGTATCTAGAAAACTTAGTTGTTTCCGTCAACATGCTACCAAATTCACAAGTTGATTTCCACGGCTCATCTTGTGTCTAATTACTGATAACGTACACACTTGATGGCAACACTAGTGTGCCTCACGATAGATGTTACTCTAATAGGTTACCAGGATTAAGTTGTATGCAAAACTCTAGTTTCGATACTAGTACTGAGTTCATCCTGAGATTCCATCAGGCTGAAGTAATGCAACATCCTACCTGATACAGGAAATATAGAACCTGACACAGCACCTATCTGCCGCGCCCTTTTTACTAGTACTAAGAGCATATCTTTTCGATACGAATTAACCTGCGGTTCTCCTCAGTAATGCGTATGCCTCGGAATGGTTAACCTCGAGCAGGGCAGCCATATTCAGGATGATTGTTGGGTGAGCATTCCGGTAAGGATCAAAGTACTTATTATTCGTCGAAATTCACAGAACTCAATCATGCTATAGGGTTGCTAGACACCACAAGACATTCTACACACGTTAGTTTAACTGAGGATGGTATTATGCAGTCCCAATTCGTTGTTTTCAGTTACCGAGAGAGTGCAGGAATAACAAACGCGGCATTCGTGTATAGAATGGCACGATCTTTTTCGTGCGCTTGTACGATGCCAAACCTGAAGACGAAAACAGAAATCTTTATGTCTGACAAAGAGAGTGTCTAAACTTGACGAAAGTCTCAAGATATGACCGACAACCCGGGCCCCATAATATTCATGTTATAAATACCCACTAAGTATCTGACCTATCCAGATCGCCATAGTTATTGACTGGCAACTAAGGAATTACCTTCTGAGGTTACAGTCAAGTTTATTAAGTATGCGTCCCGTTCCTAGCGGGAATAGCAAGCACAATGGTGATTAAAATACTAGAACTATGTGCTTCAGTTCTCTTGTACATGATTTTAAAGATTTTTAATATCCTATATAACAGCATCTATTTTAATCATTTCTAAAACATGAACCATAAAGGTCCCAATAGTGTTTAAATCAATAGATTTTATCTGATTTTATTTTATATATTTTGATTTATATTATAATTTATTTTAATTAAAAATATTATTTTATCTTCTTTCCAAATTTATGTATTATAATTTTTCAATAAGATCGTTACTAACTGGCTTTGCTTGGTAACGAGTTGAATATAGAAATACTAGTAAATAACATTGTTAGTAACAGCGTATAACATTTGCATAGGAGGTTAGACACATAGCAACATATGTTGTTACCCAACAGCACAAGGGCTACATGTTAGTTTACTTTAGTTTTTTCTTGTTAAATTTGTTGGTTGTTTAGCCAAATTAGTGACTATTAATCCAACTAAAAGCTAACATTTTTGCTAACTTGCACTCATGCTTCCGTACCAGAAGATAGTGTTATTTCCGTTACTCTTTCAAGGAGCTGGGTTGAGCGAAAGCTTTCATATGTGGTTAGTAGTCAGAAGCCCAAGAATTCTGAGAAATTAGCCAGTCTTACAAATGTTTAACCAAAAGTTTAACTGGATCTGTTTGATTGCCTATAAGAAGAGACAACTGCCACAGGCAACGCTATTATCCATCGAGCATTTTTGTACTTTAGCTAAGTTATTGAGTCTGGCAATTTTCTAAGCTTCAAAAACCGTTCATCAAGATCGATTTCACTTTGTTCTATACGATAGAATCCGTCAGCCATCCTCTAAGAACACAGGTAAGATAGAACCTACCTCTAGGCCTTAGTTTTATACTAAGTTTTTGCCAATTTTAAAGGCAGACCTTTCGACCTGTGGTTTATTAAGTCATCGTGTAGACCCCACTCAGAACTTTCCGGAGTGCATGTCCACCCTGAGTTACTTTATTTCCAAAGGAAGGGCACCATAATCGCAACGTTACAGTTCGTTAATCATTCCTTTGTTTCATTTAGCTTTCATTAGCCGGGAATACATTGAAAACTGTTTCGTCTGAGAGGGCACAGGACCAGAGGTAAAGTAACCGATATTGAAAATGAAGGCCTTCTCCGGATGGCAACCTTGTGTCCATTATTGATATTTCTACCTACCGGCAACCGCGAGGACTAACGAAGTACAAAGCGCATCTATATTAGATTATACTTTTAATTATTTTATTATTATAGTGTACAATGCTGGACGAAAGCCGAAAGTTTAAATTAACGGTTGATTTCGATGCTAACGCTGAAAGCTCAACCTAACGCAGTAGCCTGCTTAGGTAAAGAAGAATTCCAAACAGGTCTTAGTCGCTGTGGTCACAGCCCAGCAAAGGAGGCCCGCACACAGGCTAGCGTCACTAGTAAGATTGTAGCATCCAAAAGGTGAGATACACAGCGCTGGCGCAGGCACGAGCCCGAGCAAAGGACACAAGGTTCCATTCTCTAAGTTCTACTTAGGTAGAACAAAATAACTAACAGTCTAGACATGTTAGCTAATTATATGTTCTTCCAAAGTAGAACGGAAAAAAGTAAAAATTAAGATTAACTTCTTGTTCTCGCTGTTAGACCCTTTGGGCGACTATAAGTCGTCCCAGAGCGGAAGTGCCTGCCTTTCGTGGGATCCAAGCGTAATAGAAAGAAGTTAATCTTAACTTTTACTTTTTTTCGTTCTACTTTGGTGGAATGATCTAATTATCATTTCTAAAATGGTAGTTAGTTTGGTTTACCAAAGTAGAACTTGTTTCCCTAGCGTGGGGGATTAATCTTAGTAAAATTTTAGTATCTTTGAATTTTCTTCTAGTCTGTGCTAGGGTTTATAAACCAAGGTGAAACAACCTGTTTACTAAATCTAACAGGAAGAAACTAGCCATTATATCAAAACTAGGAAGTAATATTGGTTTATAATTTGTACCGTAGTCAAAATCGAGACTCTGCTACCTTTTATATTCTTGTTGTAGTGATCTCGTGCTTGTTTTATAGCATTGACGAGTAGTCTATAGATCTGGATAGTGATCTCTACCTTTATTCAAGTTCATTGGGGTAGTGAATCCTTTAGCTTTCTATTTGTATATCTCGTTATTTATAGCTACCTCTAACAGATCTATTTGCATTAAACTACTTAAGTTGATGAAATAACCGACTAAAGTTATTTAAATAAATTAACTAAATAAAATAATTAAAACATTAATATAAATAGAATACAATTAAATAATAGAATATAATAAATCAAATCCGATACAATATCATGAAATGTAATGAAATGAAATACAATATAATAAAATACAAAAGTAATTTGATATAACATAATTAAATAAAATCCAATCTAATAAATCAAATCCATTTTTACCTTAATTAAATACAATATAAAAAATAACTCAATAAATGGATTTTTAACTTTATAACATAACCTAATATAATCTATTAAAATGAATAAATAAATTAACAAATAAATTTATATAAAAAAATATAACATACTTATAATTAAAAATATATTAAATTAAAAGATTCACTACTATTATCTTAAAATCCAAGAATTTTACACCATAGTCTTTGTTAAATGTTTTCACCTTATATAAATGCAAAAAAAAAATTAAGAAAATAAAATTAACTATAACTTTTATTAAAAATAGTGCTGTTATATAGAATATCTAAGCACTCAAAATCTCGTATATAGAGAGCGAGCTAGTTAACTTTCTCTCTGGTAACACAATCAATCGTGTGCTAAAATTCATCTCGATCTTGTGAGCTTAGCTGTGATTTCAAAGGTAAGTCCGTGGTTGTTGACTATCTACAATTATGACAAACTGAAAAGATTGGTGCTATCGGTGGTAGCATTAGGAACATGACATATCATGAACCTTGGATCGATAATCCTATCTTGAAATTTTTGTTAAGCTTTGTACACACTTTGACGGAGCGAGAATTGCTTTGTGTCCCTGGACTGACATCGTACAGCCCCCGAAAGAGATCGGACCCATTGTTGATGCGACTGCTGCGTTCGTTAGCCCTTCGCTTCTGCCGGTAACTAGAAATCGCCATAGTAGACCGTTGGGTCCCATCCACGGAAGGATTATCATGCGTGTGTAAACTAACTAAAACCTTGTTGTGTCTGTCAACCCTCTGGGATTTAATGCTTTCAGTGACTTAAGTCGAAAATATCTTGAGTAAGAGTGATTCACTCTGTATTATAAAATACATTCATTGTTAGATTCAACGTTCGGTTCTGAATATGGTTGCCCTGTTTGGTTGAAATAACTTGAGGCATGCACAATACTGTGGAGACGCGCAGTTCGACACGTATCGAAAGTTATACTCTTAAACTTGATAAAAACAACGCAGTAGCTAGGTTCTGTGCCAGGTTCTATATTACCTGTATCAGGTAGGACGTTGCATTATCTCAGCCTAATTTAATCTCGGGTACTAGTATCGAAACTAGAGTTTTGTACAACGAACGATTCCTGATAACCTAGCAGATGAAAGAAACTCATGTCAGGCGCGACGTATACTAGAATTGCCGTCTTGTGTGTCGATTCCATAGTAATTAGACACAGGATGAGCTGTGAAAATCAACTTTTCCTTTAGCAGCCGGTTGATGGAAGCAGTTAAGTTGCATAAGTACTCCAGCCTCTAGCCACTAACTCCTTGCGAAGGCATTAGCTGGATAAGTCTTCTGCAATGAGTAACTAGAATGGTACTAACTATTATCCGTAGCCACTGGTAGCGACATTCTCGTAAATGAACAAGTTAGTGACTATAGTACCTATACTATATAGAATATCAGTATATATAGTATAGGTACTATAGGAAATAGTAATATTTACCAGTATATATCTAGAATGCCGGCGGTGAGCTTTTAATAAAAATAAAAGAACTTTAACACACTTTTAAAACTATATGACTGATTTTTATTTTCACGGGTTATTTAAATTTCTGTTAACGAAATTTTAGAAAAAAACCATCAAAACCACCAAAAAAAATATTTTTTAAGAGCGAGTTTAGGATTCAGTCAGATAGTTATAATAAAACAAGGTCTTTAAACTATATATCAAACCTAAACTATGTTTATAAACTCCTAATTAAATTTAAATACATTTTTCTATAAAAGTTATTACGTGAGAAATATATTGCATTGTTATTAATCATTCAAAATTAAAGAATTTGATAGCGCCGCTGTGTGAAAAAAATTGGCTCCGAACAGAAAAACGTTACAAGATTAAGCAATAGATCTAAAACGATGTAGTGTTTGCATCGTAAGAGAAAAAAAAAACTATAATTATAAAGGGGGCTTAGAATTTATCTGAACGCCTAATTAGTAGGTTTCTTGTAGGGACGAAATAAATAAAAAAAATTGGACTTTTTTATTTTTTAAAAAACCAATAGTTACTCGAAATTTGTAAGAAAGATCAAAAAAAACTATACTAATTGGCTTAAAAGGATTTAATAACCCCTAAGTTGATGCTGCCCATTCACGCCGTAGCCTGATAAACATTGTAATTAAGGTTTTCCCTGTTTATTTCTATTGAGTTGAGCTGCTAATGATCTATATAAAAGTTATGCGGAGGTTAGAAGTTTCTCTTTATACATTTAATATCTCTAAGCATGGCTTATGAATCTAATGCTCACCACGGGCATCATTCTTCTTCCATTTCCATTGAAGATAACAGTGGTAACCATGGTATACACCAAGATAGATTTTTTTCTTTAAGTAGCCGCTACATATAATTTTTTTGTTTTACTTTAAAAAAGTAATGTCAATGTTTTTCAACACCGAATTACCCTTCGACTTTATTTTTCAAAGTTGGAGGATAACGTCTTCTAAGCAATTAATACTTATGATACTGGGTATTGCCCTTTTATAAAAATTATTACAGTTTCTATTTACAATTCAAAGCACTTTTTATATTTTGCATCTTGTCGCAGATAATTTTCAGGATTATTTATTATTATGAAAAGAAGTGTGATTGTCATTCCAAGAAGAAAGTAAACACAGTGGATCACGATCCTCAAAATTCAATCTCCTCGTTTGGTTTAATTTTTAGAAATTTTATTAGAAAGCTTTTTAAAATTTTTTTAATAAAGCATACTGCTCTCTGCTTCAAGGATTTTTTTATGGAGTAAAGTTGACCTTTGGTTATCTACTAATGCTTGTTGCAATGACGTACAACGTCTACGTCTTTGTTACTTTGATATCTGGTAGAAAGCTTAAGTACCATTTTGTACATTTTTCTTAAGCTTTTAATTGTTATTAATTAGGCTTGACGGTCGGATTCATCTTTTGCAAGGCATATGATTGCCGGAAAAATTACCATTTAAAAAATCTACAAAATCCAACTTCGGGTTCGGTACCAGCCAAGTTGGAAGAAAGATTTGAAGGATTTGGGTGCGACTGCCACAAAGGTGGAGTCTAGGATTCTCATTCTTCTCGAAGAATTTTCTACTTGAAATTATAGAAATGCAAAAATTCTCTTTTTCTTTAATTAATAAAACTTCAAGGTGGCTTGTACAGCCACTCGTATCATTTTTTTTTATAACGGAAGCTTTAGTTTTACCAATACATATTAAGTTAATATGTGATTTTATATTCTTTTTAAAGTTTTATACGGGAGTTCACGCCATCAATTACTATAATTTTCCCTGATTCTAATTTACATAAAATGGGCGCAACATTTTTCTTTAACCCTCTAGCTATTATTTGCTCCCCGCTTTTACTAATCCAAATCGTAGAAGTATATAGACCCTTTCTCTCCTTCAGCATACAAGCAGAGTTTATATCTTCTGAGATACCGGTTTAAACTTAATGTACGCTATGCAAATAAACAAAAAAGAATATTTATTTCTTCACTTGGCTAAAGTCGATTCAGCAATAGTTTTATTTTTTTTATACAACCCGACAAATGACTTTTAACGGGTGCTTCCCTTTCATCTAACAACTTTACAGCGTTATCTAACAATTTCTCAAAGAGTAAGAGAAGTTCAAATTTGTTAAATTTAATTTGAAGATCCAAAGTGTCGTCCACAACACTGAGTCCCTTACTGCAATCTTCAACTTTTCTAAAGCTTGCCAGCGTTTCAAATACTTCAAGTACGTCCATCAAAAAAACACAAAGAAGTTTTAAAATTTCGGGAAATGAACTTTTAAGTTCACAGTCGAGGACCCAATATAATAGCCCACAGTGGCATCGTCCCCAAAAGACATCTAAGTTTTTTGAGCTTTCAGGATTATTATCAGAAGAATTTCTATAGAAGCAATAGAACAAGCTCTGGTAAATGAAGAGTGCACCCCAAAAAAACCGAACTGATGGTATATTATTATGTTCTGGGTTAAAAGCTAACTTTTCCTATAGAAAAAGTTATAAAAATTTTTAAATCTTGCAACATCTTTAAGAAAATATACCCAATCGAGAGGATTTTTTTCCAAGATGTTAAAGAAATATGCAAATTGATTTTTAAAGTGTTTTAAAAGTTTATCGTTCCAACCAAAGAAAGACCAGCCCACGTACTCCGTAGCAAGCGACACGCTCCGAGGAGCGGCACCCAAGCTCTTTAGCGAGTGGTACACAACGCAGAGGGGATGAAACATGCTGATGGCATATGAGGGCTGGCCAAACGCAAAGCACAGCCAGTCTGGCGCGCGATACTTTTTGGTATCTACCGTTGATAATAAAAAATTGATCTTTATTGCGAGAACTACAAACTTGGGAGGGAAACCAGTATTGACTACTGGAAGATGGACGGCGTGAAGTGTAGAGATACGACAGGACGGCTGCAGAAGTCCAGTTGGAAATTGTGCTTGGATTTTGTGATGAAGAAAGTGATCGTTGACTTTTAATAGAGTGTACACGACAACAGGATGATGTGAACTCTCAATGACTATTAATAAAACTATAAGTGATATTATCTATAATATCTCCTCACCATATTAAATTTTACCGTAATTTTTTACAATGCTCAAGTATAACCGATTCAAACGTTGACATTCTGTGCATGCTCTCCAGAATAAAGTAAATTTTTTATATAATTGTAGCTCTGATAAAAGAAAATTAAAAGAAAAATTAAATAAAAAACAGGACTTGTTAAGACCAGTTATTTTATAGATACTAGTCAGAGCCTCTTTTATAAGAGAATGAAGAGCTTCACAAAATAAAGTTGGAATTCTTTGAAAACAAATGATCTAGCAGTAAAAAAAAAATTATTGGTTTTTTTATAGATTATTAGTTAGTGTACCTTTACTGATGCGGAGAGTTGACAACCATGCACTGAATAGAGTTCATTTAAAAAATGTTGAGAAGATAATAATACGAAAAGTCGCGAACGCTTCAACACTAGTCTGTGTTTAATTGTCAAAAAAAACGCTAATTTTTTGTACAAAAAGTTATGCAAGCTTTAAACTTAGTAGAATTTTTTAGTAAATCTTCAAAAATAGATTCAGAGATTAACTCACCGTTAATGCTTTGAAGTATTAATTTAGACTGAAAAAAAAAAATTATACAAGAAAAAAAGATAAATGAAAATTTAAACAGTAGTAGGAACGGTCAATAAAGGAACAAGAGTGTCGGTTAACTCTTCTAAATTTTTGTTTGAAGTAAAATCTATTATTGAATCCTAATTTCGAAGAAAAAGAGTTGTTTTCCCGTAAACGTAAATAATAAAAAGGTAACTTCAAAAAAGCTTTCACCACTAAAATTAAGAATTTTTAACAGTAGAGTTTTTATTAATTCCTTGCAAAGGAAACTTTTTTCGAATCCAAAAATTTGTCCCTTAACTTAGCATAAAAAATAGTTCGAGTATTTTAAAAAGAAGACAAACAAGCTTTTCGCAAGGGGGATCTATAACATCCTTTTCAAGCTGAATATCCAGTAATTCTAATAAATGTTATCTATAAAAAACTTATAAGTGACTTATAACGGGTTTAAACTACTAGTATTGTCGAGTGGTTCAGCGCTGGTAGTTAACAGACGAAAATAACAGTTCAACCAAGCAAAACACAGGTTAGGATTTGCTAAAAGAAAAGTTTCTTTAATAATTTTTTTCAAAAGTTCGAGATCAGAATATTTAGGCTGCTAATTATTATTAAAATATATTATTTATTTAGTTTCCACAACTATAAAATTTTACAAGCATTATATTCAAAAAGTCAGTAAGTCCTTGAATCTCTAGAATTTTTAAGTCACCACGACTCACTATATAAAGCCAATACTATAAATATCAGTTATTTATAAGGTTTTCTAGCAGCAAAAAAGGTATTATACCTCTGACATCACTCAAACTGCTCCGCAAAAAGTTTAATGTATAAGTTCGAAATTCGATGCAAATTGTGAGGTCAAGTAGTTAAAGTATCTACTGAACAAGCGAAGACTATTTACACGACCAATTACCATAGTTGAAGACGATAAAAAGTAGAGGTCGCCTATTCACTAAAATTTCTTACCGTTGACTAATTTTATTACTGTTAGGCTTTTGAAGCTCATTACCTCTAAAGAAGCAATAATAATTATATATATAAAGAAATTCACATTTTAAAAAAAAAATCATAGATCCGTTAAGTCTTAGTTTGCTTTTTTTGGTATAAACGTCATATGTATAAAAACATGCTGAAAGCGCATCATTAGATAACTATGATTGCACTCGAAAAAAGAATAAGTCGTGGATTATTAATTCATCAATAATAGTTTCATTACGAATAGAATATGGCTTACTATTCAAGAGCTCTGTCCGTTCTTTCACCTAACTTGCAGAGCTGTCACAGTAGACGGCATAGCCCAATCACTTGAAACTGCCTTTATGGATTGTACAAATAGCGCACCTTGTTCCCCAACTAGAGTACGCCTTTTGCGCATGATAGGAATTAAACAGCTTCCCCTGCCCTGAACTTCGCCGAGATTAATTTATGAGAATCCTACGAGTTCTCTACTTCACGAAAGAAAGAGGCAGGAAAGACAACGTTCTTTAAAATAAAAAACCCTTGCCTTTTACCTGGCTGACTCTTTAGGCTAAATTCTCATCACCCACCAACGGATGTTTCTAACTTCGATCTATTTGACGAAGCAGAATCTAATGTGGTGTGGGCAAAAGTACGTTCTGCGTGGTTTATTTGCAGGGGTTGGATAGCGTGTGTTTATAGCGCAAACAGTATTAATGGCGGCAAAGACCTCTGTGGAATCCGTGAGTAGCGTGCGGGGCCGAGGCAGCATGATGTGGAAGCAATTAACTCTTATCAAACGTGTCTATGAAAACGGTTTCGCGTCAATTTGCCTTAAATGCATTGTGTAACAACGGCCCTGCCGATCAGCTGGTCATGAGTAATATCTTTAGATTTTAGATAGACTACTAGGGCGCAAATACAAAACTTCGCGTCTAACAGATTTGGACTGCATTATCGAGTATGTGAGCCTTAAGGAGGGCTTCACTTCAGGTATAGCTGTAAACTTAGCCCTAGCCGCAAATGACCGCTTCTAAAGCTTTACTATTATTTTTTCTCTTCTCAACTAGAGCAAAACGGACCGGTGATCTAATAAATTCCAATCCAGGGGCCTCGATTGTCGTCAACAGAAATATTCCCTTAAACGGCTCCACCAAACACGCGACCGTTTTTTTAGCTTTGTGCATCGAGCCTTGCAGCGCCAATTCATGTAGGTTGCCAGGGCGCGTACTTCTCTTTTATTCCCTCTTAGATTTCTCACTACACCAAAAAGATGTATGTCTGCATTTAAGAAACCATTTGTTAAGGTATGAAGTCCTAAAGCCCCCTGTCTGAGTTCCTTTCTATATGAATATTCAAAGCAAGTCATAGTTGTGGCCAGCAGATTCTTGGAGGTTTGCGGTCAAATTAGATTGCCAAAGCTGTGCCAGCCCAACAGAAAAAGAACAGTTTAGTTAATGTTTGATCTTTTGCATAAAATTTTTGGAAAAATTAAATATATTTTAAATAAGAAATTTATTAATATCAAATTTTTCAGATGAAAATTCTCATTAATCCCGTTCACTTTTTTTTTAATAAATGATCTTTTTTTTGTTCAGAAGTTTTGTTGAGTCGTGTTTTTTATAAATATAAATATCTCCGATAAGGACCGTATATACGCCTAAAAAATTACACTTGTTAGCACATTTAAATTTTTATCTTTTTTTTTTTGTATATATACTCTTCTCTAACAGTACTGTTGAAGTCTTTTTTTTTATTACCACTATTGCTATAGTTAAACTGTATAATGGCGCTGTAGTAATCTTTAATGTAGTTGTAATTGTAATTGGTGGCCTGTAAGAAATAATGTAAGTGTTAATGTGATACTAAATAATAAGGGCAAATATTTAGTGGCAGACGCAACTGCGTAGTTCAGGGTGATGGGCTAATACCACCGTTCAAAATATTAACAGCTTGCAACTTTTTTCAGGAAGTTATGTTACTAATATAATTACAATTAAGATAAAAAACAAGAAACCCACAATTGTTGTACTTATTAGCATAAGAAAAAAGCAGTCTTTCTCTTAGCAGCACAGTTTGATGACCCATCTTAGTGGATTATAAAATATTTGGAATTTAGCTTGAACATAAATTTCTTTTAAAAAAAGATTCGTTCTCTTTGACTATGAATTAATGATACCAAACAAGTCCTCTATATCCCAGCACTTCTCACTTTTCAGTTAACATATTTTTTGTCTAACTTAAGGTTTCTCATTTTAGCTTTTAAGTTCTTCACGAAAATAGAAGCTTTTCGGCCACTTCTTATTTATAGTATATATATTTATCGATTTGGAATTTGTAAAATTTATAAGAAATAAAAGATAAACGACTAAGTTTTGACAATAATTTAAAGAAATGAAGCAGTTTAACTTCCTAATTATGTTTTCTCCTTAAGTTATTTTTGCTTCTGTATCTAGTTCTAAGTTCTGTTTTTATTTTACGGTCTTTTTTTCTATTTCTCTTGCATAAGCTCCACTCTTGCTCTAGAATCTTAGCTCTCTTTATTATTTTTGCTCGTAGTTATTTAGTTTACTTATGTTTTTTACTTAATATATTTTTTATTTATTTTAAGTTCTTATAAGTTCACTCTTGGGCGCTTATTATCGTCAGCGAACCTTATGATCTACAGATCATAACACAAAAGTAAGTTTTTTGTAAATTGGTGAAGCTTTTCTAAAATAAAATTAAATATCATTAGAGTAAGCTACGTAATTATGCTATTACCCCACACTCAACCGAATATGGTTAAACAGCTCCATGTTGAGTTTATCAGCTTCCACATAGTATTTCTACCTGCTTGTAGCTTTTTAAACTCCCTCGCGAAACTGGCTTTTAACTCTAAGAAAGTGCGTTAGAGCGTTAAACCGATTGTAACGTTAGGGCTTGCTTCGCAAGTTCGCGTGGTCCTCAGGGCGTCCATGTATAATTCCAGACGACCGCGTTTAGGAGTGTGGCGCTGCCCAGTAGCCATTAACATAGATGGTAGCAGAAATTTCGCAGGTTCTCATATTTCTATTCTATATGCATCAGACGGGGGCCGCCTTACTCACCAAAGCTTTGGTTATTTTTACGTCATTAAAATAGATCGTACTATTATCCCGGTACCGTAGCGCTATTTTCTGTTTTCTTCCCTATTAAAGCAGTAAAGGATAAAGCAATTTTTTGTTACGTATAACAAACGCTGCGCTACCGGCTCCTGTGCTCACATGTGATATATTTAGGGATCATCGTCGATCTTTACGAGACTTACGGCGGAATTTTTAGGTGCTAAAATCCTCAACTATTAGCAGAAGCAATCACTTGTTGCGCAACAAACGGGTGCATGTAGTGGCATATAACTGCGTTCCTTGGGTCTACCACCGATGGCAAAAGCGTCCTTGCTCTGAATACGCCAAGGCAAACGGCCTAACATTTCGGATGAACGGTAGTAGTTCGTGTGTAAAACGCTTGATGGCCACAGGACAGAGCTCCAGAACACGTAATGCCATCAACTATAACTTGAGAGTGGTTGGACACGCTAACCGACATTCCGCCTTCCGCATATATAGCAAGGTTGCGGTGCAATTTTTAAAAAGATTAGATTAATGTTGACAGACCACGATTCATCTCTGTTGGTATAAACTAATTTTTGTTTGAGAGCCAGAAAATTTAAAGTTTATTGACTCCAATGGCCTACAGAAAAAGTCTAATAAAATAAAAGTCTAAGCCTTTTTGGCATATTAGGTTTTTCTGTTTACAAGGTTCATGGCAAGAGTGGTCATAACTCCCAACTCGAAAAATATTATATAAATCCCGTTAACTTGCACACAAAAAATTTTGTTTTATTTTAGGTGTTTTTAACATCTAAAAATTTACAATTTTTAAAGCAAACGGCTTATAAAATAATATAACTTTAGTTTTTATAAGGCTTGCCTTTACTGATGGCGTAAATCGTGCTTAATGGGATAATATGGTTATATATTGATAGAGTAAACTTTTTTTACGTATTGTATGAATATCACCTTTTTTATTCCCAGTTATTTTTACTATTTCTATGTATATAATCTTTAAACGGTTAGTATAAACTGATGTTTTTATATAACATAGTACCTTGATAAACATGTTATACAAAAAAGCCGTGTTAGCGATATTAGTTATTTAAATTTGCAAATGTACCAATACATAAGAAACACCTAAGTATCTCTTGAAGTTGTGCACCGCACTTTAAAGTGTAAGCGCAGTTTTTATTCTAAAGTATCACAATTGTTAAATATACAAGTATTCTTAAGTATCGTTCAGTTTACTTGAGCATATTACACAAATCTTTGGTAGTATTTATATTTCTTCTGATATAATTAAATGTCATAACGAATAAAAAAAGTGACCTTGCTCTTAATACAGTTACTTTTCGTCCTTAGCAATTGTAATTATGGCTAGAATGCTTTATTAAGATGCATTCAAAGGTATAATAGTGGTTACGCAAGGCATATTAATGGAAGTTAAGATAACTCATATCCGGCCACCATCTTAAAAATTTACGAAGACAGCTGAGAAAAAAGATGCAAAACTAATGGAGATGTAAAATTGTTCTTGAACTGAGAAATCAATCGGGTAAGGATGCAGATGTGATGCGGTAAGCAAGAACGGCGCTCCTGACTTAGAGGAGTAAAGGTATGCCACGACATCCGATTGTATTCCTCAGCAACAAATTTAAGAGCAGCTTGAAACAATAAACAATAAAAATACAGAACTGTAACAAGAAATATTCTTAAAAAGTACAACCAGCATAATTAGAGGAGGTATCCATACAAGAGCTGCGGGTACTAGCCTCATGGTATATACGTAAAGTAGGAGAGGCCGGCTCCACTAGAAGTGAGTGATGCGCCACCATGTCGAGCTTTACAAGAACTAAGGAGCGCAGACTTAGTAAGAAAGGAGAGGGACGCGTGCAGGTAACTTTTGCAGGATGAAGCTGGTTTGAAAGTGAGTATGGCGGACTTTAAAAAAGTAAATGGGAAGACAGTAGACACCTGCATAGAAGGCGTCGGTGTAGTGGCTAAATAACAGGTGGTTAGAGGATCCATGCGAAGTTTATATGTTTCTAAAGGTATCAGGGCGTGGGGAAAGGCAATACAAGTAGACTTTGACAGCAAGTCCTCTTAAAAGGCAAGTGAAGAAAAGATGAGTTATAAGGAGGGATGGCAGCTACCTACAGCAAAAGTTGCTAAGTGATCGTTCTGTGAGCCACGTATCCCTTCAAAGGTGGTCGAGGCTATAAATTAAAACACACTCAGATATAGGAAACGTCCGCTCAGGAAAGCAGCAATTACGAGGAAGGGGGAGTAAAAATTGCATTTGTTTATCAATACTTAGCGATAATACACTCAAAGAAAGAATCGCCGGACGCTCATACCAAGGGACCCCTAGAAAAATAAATGGGGTACTGAGGGCTATAAAAAGATAAAATGGTGTAAACTAACTTGAACAAACTTTGCACTCTTCAAAAAACTCTGTGTTTATAAGCTCCAGAGGTTTTTCCCCACAAAAATGTTTCCATTCTTAAAAAGATAGATAAAGTAAAGGAGAATAACGACAAAGTAGAAAGGTGAGACCTTCCAGCTCAACAGACGTAAAGCTATCAACTTTTACCACGACAATTCTCCAAGGCATGGCAGTCTCAGCAATTATAGTTCGAGCGGAGTTCATTATAATGGAAACTGCGACGCCTTCTTTCTTAGACGTGGAGTTGGAGGCAGATAGCAAATAGCTGCGGGGCCTTAAAAGCTCTCCCGTGGCGTCCGCCCAGACACAGAGTAACCAATCGTCAGAAAGAGTATAAGAGCAGTGCAACAGACCAATCTCTCCTTCGAAAGAGCGCAACAAAGCGCCTTAAAAGAAGTAATCATAAATAATTTGCCAAAGGGATGGAAGTAGTTGAAAATAAAGAGAAAACCTGTCGAACAAACAACTGAGTCAGGTTGAGAGGTAGATAGTACAAATGCAGGACCGTAAAGCTCCACGCTGGATTGCTTTCAGAAAAACTTAAAGAAAAAATTGTGACAGACTCAAACCATCTTACCGGAAATAAATCAACTGGGCTTTTTGGCAAAGGGATTTTTGAATGAACTAACACCCGCATTTTGGAAAAAACGCTAAAAGCTATGGATTTTGCACAGTCTACAAGGGACACCGGTGATGCCAGAGCCCCTTTGCCCAATCCTGGCTCAAGAAGATTAGCAACCGAAAGGACCTCCAACGCGCTAGAAAATCAGAATGAAGGACCAGTGATGGTTCACAGTGATCCACCTGCAATGTCAGACGTGGTCCGAGAAATTTAGGGAGGCAAGAGCGAAGTGCTGCCATACAAAAACTGAAGTCGAACTGCGAACATTCGCTTTCGAGGGGATCGACAAGGTATATAACATAGTGGGGAAGAAGAGCTGCAACGCGTGCAGACTCGGCATTAGGCTTTCCGGATATTTTAGAAGAAAGCATTTTTCCTAATAAAAAGGCATCTTAGAGCTGCCTGGCACAATCGTAGAAGAAAGAGCACCAATGCAAACGCAGGCTGTGTAATATCGTTCAAGCTCTTCTTTTCCAGCAAAATTTGAAAGGGAGAAGGCCTTGCTGTACTGAACACGAGGCTGTGGAGGTTGCGCGTCGTGGCCAGCAAGGTAGACGCCATCTCTTAATAAAGGACTCTCCAAAGGCACGTGCGTACCAAGCCTTAAAGTCTACCAGTGCACCATTACCAACGCGTATTTTAAAAATTAATAACGTTAAGCACCTCGTAAACACTAGAGAGCTCTTTTAGAAACAGGCGTAAGCGTGAGGCGATAAGAGGAGTGGCGGGTGCAAGCGCCACATATTCCACCGCTTTTCCTGCAGAAAATGGCTCCAGAGACAACCTGAACAAGACACACGTGCTTTCCTTATCGGGCGTAGCAGCGTAATGCAAAGAATCCTTACTTTTCCCAAAGGGCCAAGGCAAAAGGGGAGACGGATATCCAGTCATCTTCGTACCCTACCACGACGGAGGGCACCGAAAGCGGTTGCACAAGCGTTTCCTGCACTTTCTCTTCGCTTTCTTCGCCGTTCTTAGTGAAAGAGGGTGAGTCGCTGAGCTTGTCGACAAAACACGTGTCCGTCTCGGGCGCTGGTCCATAAATTTTTAAGCTTTAGGCTCTAACGCCAAACAATAGGACACACAATTTGAGAGGGCAGCCAGTTCGCGAATGGTCAAGGGGCCTCGAGGTCTAAGGAAGACGCTGTTTTCCTCAAAGAGTTTCTAAAATACCCGTAAATAACAATTTTCACCTTAATCAAATTCTGAAAACCTTCAGTTGTTTTAAAGAATCACTTATAACCGTTGAAACACACGGCACGGATAAAAAGGGTTCTGCTGAAAGTAATAGAATTTCGTGAATAACAAAAACTTGTTAGTAAAAGTTTTACCATCTATCCATGGTGAGTCACTTGGTAACTCAAGAGGAGTGCCAAGCTTATCGCCGGTTTCTAAAAACAATTAACCATTGGTATGCTTACACGTGCAAGAAAAATAAGAATAGGCGACCTTTAAAAGCCGTCAGATGGCTTAATAGCTGAAAGGTGAAACGGTGTTGCGCTTTCCAATAAGCCCTGCTGGCATTTTCGCTAACAAATAGAAGCTCAAAATCGTTCTCTAGAACTCCCCAGTCAGCAAGACTTTCTAAGGCGGTGTCTGAAAAATACTGCAAAGCCGTGCTAGCAAGGCACGCCTGGCAGTTTTTGGTGTTGCAGCTGCTGGAACAACAATTGCTGCTTTTTATAACGTTCAGTGTGTCGCTGCTTTTGCTGGAGGCCATAAAAAAGGGACAAGTTCACATACGAGCACAGAAAGGTGCTAGCAGAAAACCTGCTCGAGCAGAAAGAGGTCTCCTCAGAACACGTTTTCTTTTGTAGAGAAAGGTAGGCAGCAGTGGGCAAGAAGGAAAGCAAGGCATAAGCAATAAAGCTATCGACGGTGGAGATTTTTTGGGTCGAAGTTTCAGAGGTGGTAGCGGCTCTTTCCCCTCTTTGAAAAAGTGGCGCGATTGATACGCAAGGAAAAAAAACGCGTCTAGATGGTGCAGGCAATGAGGCGCCTTTATCCAAAGGAAACGGGAAGCCCATAGTTTTCTTAAGTCTCACTGGGCTGCCTCATTATGAGCATACCGAGTAGCAGGACGATATAAACAAGACACACCATGCAATCCGCCTGCAGGTGTCTTGTTTAACGTCAACAATTGAGCAAATCTTCCACGCATTGCATCTATACTTGCGCTTGCGTGCTTGGCATTTGGTCTGCAAGTAGCATTAGACAGTCGGTCCTGCCGGAAAAAAAAGGCAGAACCGACCTGCCTCATATGGCGGTCATATCTCCTTCTCTCCTTAAGAGATTCCTTTCTGCGCACTTCTACACCGAGTTCGGTGAAGCAGTCCAACTTTAATGGAACTGGAGCGTAAGCCACGGGAATAATAGTCTTCTACGAACATGCCGTTTCCACGTGTTATTTAAGCCTCAAAGGTGCCTTAGTTTACTTTATCATGAAGTAGCACGTGTCTTGTTTTTTTTTCATGAAGCCCCAAAATGATGTTGTTGGACAGCTTGTGGCGTTTAAGCGGATCATCAAAGGCAGCCTTCTTGGTTAATTTCCTTGAAGCTGAGAATATTTAATATTAACCGAGAAAATGAAATTCATACAAAAAACTTGCCTTGTGGAGAATTAGCGGTGTCACCGAAATCTTCGCAAACGGCGGCAGCATGACCGAGCTCCGAGGGTTTTCTTTTCCGAGAGGACGGGGGCTGCACAGCAAAGAAGACTTATTGCTATTAAGTAAGGGTATTAAATTCACGCACATCGTCAAAAAAGCTGAAGTCCTCAAGAGTGATGTCACAAATGTCGTTCTCACGCACGATCTCAGCTTTCTTATGGAGCATTCTCAAAGGAGCCACGTGGTGGGGAGCCGGCTTTCCATCTGGAGTGCCCGTCGTCACATTACAAGGAGACTTTGTAATAAAAAAAAGAAAAGTTAATCTTTCTAATAGCTGTTAATTAAATTAATACTTCTGAGCTAAAGCTGCTAGTCTCTTTAGAATTCGACTTGGAATTTTCTGTTATTTTAATTAATAAAAAAATTGTGAAGTGGAAGGAAAAGAAAAAACCACAAAGTTTGAGATTCTGAAAAACAAGCCTTCTCAGAGTAATTAAGGATGATATATTAGGTTTAGTACAGTAAAAGCTGTAATAAAAAAATAAATGGAGCTGTACTTTTGGGGGGCCGTGAATTCCTTTTGGATGAAGCGGATCCAGACTTGTGAGAAGGCCGCTTCAGCTAAAGAGTGTGCAGTGCTTGGTTGTGTAGGAGCATAACTCATATGAAAAGTTAGCGCAGTCGGATAGCGCATACGGATGCCGCTTTTCTCAATTAAGACCCACACCATTCCCTTTTGCAGGAAATATATTTTTAATAAATTTTCCCAAAAAATTATAATCAACCGGCAAGTCGCAGGAATTTAAAGGAGCTCTGGACTTTGTTTTTAAAGCTTCTAGTGGAAACCGTTTCAGCCAGAGTTCAAGCAAATCATCTTGTGCTTTAACGGAAGGAACCGCCCTAAGAAGACGAGCAGGAAATCCAAAAGGCGCAAGGTAAACTAAATTTTTTTTTTAAAAAGGTTTAAAAAAAATAATAAAAATATTTATAAAAAAAAGCACCTAAAGGTCTCACAGAATCTGTTTTCTCTTGCTCAGCTGGTAAAACTTTGGTAATATCTTTTTTCGAGGGAACACGCAATTTTTTAAAATCGACAATTGCATGAACGCAAAGGCAACCATAATAAATAAAGTATGAAAAAGTTAAAGATGGAAGAGGATGCTCCTTTTCAGAGTTTTTATAGTCTGGCGAAGTATAGACATAAAAAGCCCCCAACTTAACATACGAATTTTTACACAGCAATCTAAAAGAAAATTAGAAAAATATCTCAAGATAAAATTGAGGAAGTAAAATGTTAACCTTTCAAAAACATTTTCCACTGCAGCTATTAAAAGATCTAAGTACTCGTTATCTTCACTGCCGTCAAACTGTCCACTACTAGAATCTAAACAAACTAGATAAAGAAACTTTTTATGCTATAGACCTTTGAACAACCTATTATAAAATCGCTTTCATCTAGGGGTACTACTTCTTTAGAAAAGCTAAAAACATATAATTCTTTCGTCCTGCTATGCTTTAATATTTCTTCTAAATCTTTCAAGTAAAAATCCCCTGCTTCACCAGAAAACCGCCAAGTACAAGGGACATTCTTGTTGATCAAGGCTTCATAGACTTGTAAAGCAGGATCATTTAAGGAGTTATAAATATGCCTTGAAGTTATGCAATAAGATTCAGTTAATGGCTTGAAGACGTATTTTCTCCATACAAGACTATCCAGTTGGCCTAAGACAAAAACGTTAGTTTCCGAATCATCTCCAGCGGTAAACATATACGCAGAGGCCAAATAGCAGAAAAAGCTCTGCTGTTATCTTAGTAGTATAACTCTGGTAAATGCTTTATACTAACTGCAAACAAGTAAGTGGTTCACTCTAAAATAACAAGAAAAAGGGGGTTATTTGTCGGCAAGTAGTAAGCCTCAATGAACACAACTCACACAGCTTCTTCAAGCATGACTGTAAGGAACCTGCCCAACCTAAATAATTTTTGGTTTTGCTAAAACTTTTTTCCTTAAGTGGGCTAAGCTTGCAAACCTAATTGCACTTTTTCCAGGTATTTAATAACAGTAAGAGTAGAACCGTCTGTGGGTTACTAAAACGGGCTAGTATTAAACTTGTAATGGCCGTGGTGTTTGGCTATGGGGAACATATCGTGTTTAAATGTCGCCCTAAAAGGTGGACCTGCTCAGGAAATCAGATTTAAGGCGCCGAGTCTTTCCACATACAATCTTATATTATTATCTGATTTTCATAATAACTTTTATCTCATTAAGTCACCGTAGTAGAACAAAAATTACTTTTACAGAAGTAGCTGGGCGCGAATTAGAGCAAACGTGGATAGTAATTATTAGCTTTTCCACGACGCCAAAAGTGGACGCCCACTTTTAGGGTTTAAGAAATTCGGATAGCGAACTCGTAACCTTTAATATTTACTACGAGTTAGTGCCTCTGCCCAAAGTTAAACGGCTTAGTTTTAAAAAAGAGCGACTACTTAAATTTTACTGCAGTTTTTGACTAATGAACCTTAAAAAAAATGGAAATAAGGGTTTCTAGAGTTATTAACAGCAAATATATCCTAAAGCTTACGTGTCAAATTCTACTGGGCTGGTTTTCTTTGCCTTCTATGAGGGTTTAATCGTTTACTTATGCTTTCAACGGAATAAATAGTTATAAAACTCTAATAAATTTGTAATTATTGGGTATATGCTTCTACAGATCATTAAGTAGAACTGCTCCATACTAATCGCGAGTAAAAAAAAATAGACCTAACACGGAAGAGCTTTTTATTATTAATAGATTAAAAAAATAATTTCGCAGAGTGCTTAATACTATTAAATTATTGGGCGGGTAGGTCACATTTCCAACTCCAGCGTGCAAAGAGGTTAGTTAACAATTTTTTTTTAAGCGTTAACATTAAACGTAATTATCCACATAATAAAGTTTGAGCAAAATCTGCTTTAACCCTCCTGTGATCTGACTTGATAGAAATGTAAGAATATCAAGGCGTACATTTAATTATAATTGTACTTAGCGCATAGCCTCTACCTAAATCCGAGTACGTTGTTAAGTTACTCGGAAGAGCAATTTTTTTCTCTTCGTTTATAGCGGCTAGTTAGTAAGGCGTTATAGCGACAAGGGCTAAAAGTAAAAAAGAAAACGTGCATAAAGCGGCAGTCATTGTGTCAATGGCGGTGTAAATGCGAACCTGTCCGGCCGTGAAAGCGCTTAAAATTGAAGAATTCTTTGTCATCATATAGCACCGTTCGATACTGTCATGCATACCGCAACTTTTTTCGCATCTTGCTTTTTTCGCACACTAGTGGGTAAAGTAGTTATGTTACTATATTAAGTAATTAGTTTTGTTACAGGACAGTTTGCTGTTGTTGGCTCCAAAAAATTCGCTTGAGGGTTTCAAGACAGTTATGCCCGAAACGAAAAAAGGGTTTCTTATTTAAAATGCATTGCTCTTTACCAGGTTTATGTTGACGCCTTTAGGTCGACACCAGCTAGTGTGCTTTGCTACAGGAGCCGATGTAATAAGTTTGAACTTTTTAACGACGCATTTACTATTTTGTTGTCGGCATATAATAAGCTGCGCATGTTGTGATTCACATGGCCGCAATGTCGTGTTTATAGAGTTGAACGTTGGCGAGGAGTAGAGGGACGTCTGCTAAAATCCTTTGACAAGTGGAGTTGTAATAGCGAAATGCCTTTGCGAATGTGAAAGCTTACCCGAAACCTCCAGCTTTGTACAAATAGGATTCGGTCTATAAAAAAAGTGAATTTATTAACGCCTCAATTGTCTTCACTCTTTGCCCAAAAAATAAACTAAAAGGCGTCGCGGAACTCCTGTTGCCAGTACCATCTTAGTGTGATGGCATCTAAATTTAGTATTTAATTCTAACTAGCATAAATACCGTTAAGTCCGTTGGCAAGAGCAATAGATTGTTTTGTCTTACTTGAAGCAAGAAAGCTTTTATTTAGGCTGTGGGCTAGGTCACGAACGAGTTTGTTAATATACACAGTACATACAACCACCTGTTGTTGAGCAACGAGAGTTTTCATTTAGGAGCAAGGCAGAACGTTAACAAGAGATGCGTAGCCGCCTGTTGCTGATTTCCCATATATATTTAACTTGGGGTCACCCTAAGACGGCCTTGCCATTAAACGTAATACCCAACAGTGTTACCTTTTAGTAAGCTCAACTAGCTAACGTTGCAATTTTTCTTTCTTGAACAGGTGAGCAGTTTTAACAACTAGTATATGACCGTGGTTATTGCTTAAAAAGAGATCTGCCTATATGAGTTAACCGCAGCGACACGTCGCTCACATAAAAAAGGAGTTAAGGTAAGAGAGGAGAATCTGACGAAACCCTGTTGTTAGTGGTTTAAGAGAAATGTGTAACGCCCATATGTGTGGTAAAACTGTAATCATACTTTTTCTTGCTGTTTAAAAAGATAACGCCTGTCGTTTTCTAAATAGTGAGGGTGTGAGTCGTCACTTGGCTTACGAAAAATATATCGCATCGTTAACTGTCCTTGCTGGCATTTATACTGGCATTCGGGTGAGAACGCGAGTGTTTAACAACTATAGTTGTGAGGGGAAATTTGCCAACAGATGCAAAGAAGCTGGTGGGCAAGTTTCTAGTCGTTAGAGCGTCATAATTCTCGCCATTTTCCTTCACAACGGTAGAGTACTGAGGTTCAGCGTAGGTTGACAAGGTAGCGTTTATGTTCCACTACCTTAATATTTGCTTTAGCGTTGCATTAGCGCTACCATCGAGTTCGGGGGCTCCCACCTCGGTAAGGCTACGCCGTTAAGTGTATTTTGCTTGTGTTAGCAAGTTCAAAAGGCTTGCCAGCATCACTAAAGGACAAGATTGGCCCAAAAAGTGTGTTATTGGTAATATAAAACGGCATTATGGCAACAGAAAGAGAGGTGGTCGATAAAAGTTTTTACTTTTTTTCGCAGCTCGTAAAGGACGCAATAGTAAAAAGCCTATCGTTATTAAAACTTTTCGACGGGGGTGCTGCGGTCGTCGCCTATCATTGATACGCAATTGTGCCGGTATAATAGATTTCATGCTAATTTGTTTTCATAACGCAGTGGTGCCATGGCCACAAAAAGCCGGAAGTCGCAGATAGCGTCTTTGCTTCTACAAGCAGTCAGAGTGCTTTTTTATAAAATGTGTTTGAATATGAATGGCTAATATATGATATACAGCACCCCAAATAATGAAGCATGAAATTTGGTCATTGATATCTTAACAAATTATAGAAAATTTAGAGGCGCTCCAAGTCACAAGGGCAATATAACGCTTTAAAACCTCTCATACGATGTGGCACTTTCTTCAAAGTCGCTATCGCTATAGCTTTACCTTGTTATATATGAAAGTAATTTTATTTAATTTTGCAGAAATAATCTATTTAACTTGACCTTTTTACGCTTTCTCGCCTAGATGCGAAGCCTGCACTTGAGGTCATATATCTTCTCCTAATGCTAATTCTGTATTCAACTTGACCAACATTTAGTCTGTAGCCATCTGTAATGTTTAAAAATATCGTTTTACAAGTCCCTGTATAGTTTAGTAGCTATATTACGATTCCTTACTATAATTATTGCTTTCTTTTGATGCACTCTCTATTAATCTTAATAAGCTTTTTAACAACTTTAATCTTAACCATACTAAAAAAACTGGTGAAGGCAATTGGGTCTTTGATGCCAAACGTTTGGTGATTCTTAAGTCTACACGACCCACGAAAGTTGTAACTTACCAGCTTAATTTTCTAATCAAAAAAGTAAACGTATCACTGTTAGTGCGAACTTTTAGAGACCAAAATCGTTTAGAGTTTCTTCTAAATACACAATTTTTTGTTAATGTTTATACATTAAAATGCTATTTTTGTGTATACTGTGAAGTTTCCCCCTTTGAAGTAGACTTAACGGATGCATACACAAAGATATACCACTTTTAATGTTGCCTAAGTAGTGGCTAACAGAAGTGTAAAAGTTATTGTTTTACGTTTGCTTTTAAGTTTTTATTCTTTAATTGCTGTTTTTCTATGCCAATTTAACTAAAAAGCTAACGATTTAAAAGATG